AACAGACTGCTTTCCTCGCAGTGATCGCATATAATCAGCGTGATAGTATACCGCCAGCTAGGGTGGCACCATGACTTGCTGGGTCTGGCGACAAGGCGGACAGTGAATGCCCCTATTGATGATATCGAAAGTGAGCAGCCACTGCCCCCGTAGATCGAGAGACGGGCTGTACTTGCAATAGTCCGAACCTCAACGACCTACAGCGGCTCCTTGACTCCCCCAGCTAGCCACAGTATGCAGTGCACTTCAACGAGGGCTTGGTAATCCACAGTGGTACACAGCGGAACACACCGAAGTACTGGAGCAGCAACTCAGTAGTACAGTAACTTTACAGCAGCAGTCTGACTGCTCGCTGCCCTGTTGTACCGCTCTTAGAAGGAACAGTGGCCCTTGGTGATGGCAGTTGCTGCTGCTAAGACAAACACCCCTTCAAGTCTACGCGGTGCTCTTCAAAACCCCAGCCACTGTCTTGGCCACTAACACCGCACTGTCCTTAGTAACAGGCCAATGCTGGAACAGTGACCTACATCAAGATATCAGAAAAAAATAAAATAAAAAAAAAATAAAATACTTATCCACAATACTTAAACAGTAGCAACTCACTGATCAGTCCCGATCACGGATGTATTGCCACCGAATAGACCCCCGGGTTTGCTGTAGCATTACCCCAAGCACTCATGCCAACTTCCTAGTACTCACCACTTAGCTGGCCCACCAGCTCAGGTCAGAGATAGTGATCCTCCTTGTGACAGTCCCACCGAGGCAAGATTGGGATTCAAGATGCCAATCATGGTGGACATTGCCACTTGAACCTGGTGACGAGGGTACACAGCGGGTGCACTGAACGTCAAAAGTACAATTTGTAACAAAAATTAGATCTAACTACTGTCTCTCCCCAAGTCAATTAGCACCAAGACTTTCCAAGAGTCCCACCCTCTTTGTCAACACTTCCACCTAAGTTTCTGGGAGTCTCCTCCTCCCTCCCCTATTCCTTCAGTTCTAGTTATAGTTTTTGGAGGTGCCCAGTCTATCCGGCCTGTCAGTTATGCACTATGAGAGGGAATCTTTCACAAAGAGGTAGGCAGATACACCGCCACGAACAGACCTATTAAAAGAAAATTATGATGTGATTACGAACCATGCTGCCTGAGGTAAGAACCGCCACTGCACTCACGGGGGTGGGGGAAGAAAAACAGCCCACCGCGGTCCATACAGACAGGCTGCCAGAAGTGAGCCCACACAACTCAATTAATCGGATCAGTCTTGAAGGACGAAGGATATTCCACCTTCATGTTACAGACACCCTCCCTCTTCATCAAGCTTGTCCAAATATGTGAAGTTGTTGAATGTGGCAGACAGGTCCGGGAGACCATACCGATTACACACAGATCCACACTGCTCACTCCATGACAATACTCTCTCTCTCTCTCTCTCTCTCTCTCTCTCTCTCTCTCTCTCTCTCTCTCTCTGCCAGCCTCTCGTATGTGCCGCTGGTATAGTCAGAGGATGGGGTCTAAATGCAGTACGTCTGCCTACGAGCCAGGGGCCACGGCCACTACGACCGAGCAAAGCATTACTACGGCAACGAGGCGCGACTGACAGGGAGAGAACGACAGCCAATGAGCACCTAGCGAGGAGCGTCCAACTTTCACGTAGGTGGAAAAAAAAAAAAAAAAAAAAAAAAAGACAATGTACCCCCCCGCTAAAATACAGCTAGATACGTTCTTCGGCTGCGCCTGCTGGCCACAACACAACCCTCCCAGTTGCTCACCTAACTGGGGAATGGACGCTACACCCTTCCTGCCGACGCCGACGGCACGAGACCAATCACACTACGTGGCACGTAATGCCAGCGATCATGACCAGTTCACGCGGGTGGCATCCAGCAAGGCGGCCACGAGCCTGAAAACGACGATGCTCTTCACCAAGGTCATATGACAGATAGTGATTAATGAGATGACGAGAGTGAATCTTCCACTAGAACATGGAAAGGTGCATCCCCTCTTCCGAACTCTCTCTCTCTGTTACAACCTCCTCCCCCCCTCTCACTTTACGTATACACCTCTACCTCGCCGTCATCCCTGCTTCGGCACACCCGGAAGGAGATTACAACCTGAGCATGAGCCTCCTACCAGGAATCGGGGGGGTTCCTCGTCACTTCGTAGCTGCCACTCTGCTCCCGGTCGGCCGTGCACCGCGCAGCGTCCACTGCTGACCCTGGTCATCTCATTGCTCGAACACGAATTCTGATGCCGCACTCTGTTTCGTCCTGCCCAAAAACCTCATGTTCGACTCTTGATTCGCTCGATTCCGTTAAGGAACGAGCGAGCTAGACCATTTTCGTTCTTCTCTTCTCCCTGCTCCTTCGAACGCACCTGGCGCGGAACTGCGTCCAGATTCGTTCGACTTTCTTTTGTCTTGTTAGTCACTCTTTCCCCTGGCCGTGCTCGTAGCCTCCCTTCACGCCCCTGCCCTTCTTCTAATCTTGTTCCCTTCATGTGATGGCTCACAGCCTCTCGAACACCGTGGCAAGTACCGCAGGCGCGCTCATACGCAGAGCTCTCACAGCCGCTCATGAACGTCGGAGGACAACTCCTCCTCCCCGTAGCACGTGCCCTGTGGTTAGCTTGGTCGGGAGGACATACCGCAATGGCAGCCCACCGTACGCCAGAACGAGCAAGAAGTGTCGGGCTATACCACCGACTTTATACTTAGCAACCTTCCGCCGGGGCCGTACTACTCTTCTTTGTACCGTTCCAATCCTGACGAAAGTCCCGAAGGACTATGCCCAGGCAGCCGTTCGTGGCATACCTACTGAACCAGCTGCTGGGTCTCATCGTGGGTCTCGGCACTGGTACCGAGCCCCGTGCCAAAAAAAAAAAAAAAATGGAAAAAAGATTTAAAAAAAAAAAAAAAATTTAAAACTCAGAAAAATAAAAAAGGTTAACAAGGGAAAAACAGGTGGGGGCTGCTGGTACTCGGTCCCATCTCGCGGGCCCGCCACCGGACTTCCCAACAAAAACCAAGGGGGATAGTCCTGCGGGACCCTCAACCCCTCGGTCCTCTTGTACTCCTCCGCTCCTCCGGTGCTTGCTGCTGGCCTTGATCCCAAGATCCGCCTGGTGATAGTTCGATAACATCACCTATAGGGCTAACCCCAGCCTGGAGGCAGCAGGCGCAACCTTCCATATTAATGGCATGGCCAGCCAGCCCAGGCCAGCAAACGGTACCTCAGACCGTTTTTTCCACGTACGGCCTTCGTCCTCGGTCCCCTAAGGCTGCACTTGGCAATCCTGAAGGCATAGCTCTGCCGGTTCACCACTTGCGCCGGCTCAACTATGACAGGGGAGCGTGTCGGGCTCCTCACGGCCTGCTACGATGCCTTTCTACCACCTCTCCGCGGAAAAACCCCGCTCATGGCGCTGCTTAGTGCCGCCCTTGCTTAGCAGCCGCGGCGACTTTTGCTATCGTTGACGCAGGCATCCCAGTGCCCACGTAACTCTACGTGGCGCGGCCTTGATATGTCGGCCCCCTGCAAGGCAGACTACATTCTTTTCTGGTCACAGTCCTACCCGGTCAACGCGACGCCGCTCGTAATGTCGCCCGTACGTGCGAGGCTGCGGCCGCCTCAGAAACTCTACTCTTGTTCTACCGGCGTCGCGTTGGACAATCATAGCTATAACATAATCACATCTTGTTGACAAGGAAATGACCAATCCGGTTCACCGGCTTGACTCCGTTCGAGGTTACCTCATCACCCTGCTCCCGTCACGACGTCCCACTGCCAGGGTTCTAACCTGGGTCTCTCATGTCCTGGCCTTGGAGTTAGGGGATACTTTGTTCCGTACTACAGCGTACTACCCGCTCCCAGGTAGTAGGTTGATAGTCCTCTCCCTCCGTCGTAGACATCTGCCGGCTCGTCGTTGGGTGTCCTGTTTAATCATCGTCCCGTGAACGGGGTCATAACTCAGGACGCGGGCCCTAACCGAGACCTCTCAAAACACGGGGCGCCTTTAGCCGCCCCCATGGTAGTGTCTACCAATTCAAATCACAACGAACGCCCAGCCTGGAGTCTAACACAGGTGGCTTCAGGTCTCCATCTTGGCCCACCATGGACCAGTCGATCACGCCGAATCCACGGCCCACCACGTTGTTATGTAGCGATGGTGCCCTCGTTGGTTATGCAACGATAAGCAACTCTTCCCTATCTTGGCACCCCAAAGGGTCCTGACTCTTTGACCTAGTCGACCCCAATGGCCTTCCCTCCGGCTAAACCTCTCCGGGTGGCCGACCCTTCAAGACTTAACCTTCGGTAAGTCATGGTCCCGCTGCCAGGTTGTGCCGGTCAGCGACCCTCACTGGGAGTTAGGTTCTACAGTTCCAGCGATACTAAGTATAGCCTCTTAGCCTGGCCTCACAATACGTCCCTTAGACTAACCCATGTGGTCTGACACTTTCTTTCACAACAATAATCAAAGGATCGCATATCACCGTCCACGGGACTACGTAGGGGATAGCGCCTTTCTCAATATTTCACCAAAATCCTCAATAATTCCACAGGGTCGTGCCTTTCTTACTTTGATCAGAAGCAGGTGGGGTCACGCGTCTTTTTAGGGATACTCACAATATTCTCCAAGTTCCAACATAATTGCCAGAAATTTTCATCTATGATTTTCACAAAATACCTGGTCTTTCCTCGTCAGACTTTCACATACATGCAAACAGTTATCATCACTTATAGCAACTCTTCTGAGTGCCCTCACAAAATTCCATCCTTTTAAGAAAGTCCAATCGACCACTGGACTTCCCCCTCTCATTTTTGAATCATACACAAAAGGCACAACTTTAGTTGTGACCTCTCCATTCCTCACCAATCGAGCTGGGTAAAGCATATCATCACTGTTGCAATAATCTGAAAGCACTCCTTTCCCCTATACTTCCGGTTCCACTCGTTATTAGGACAGGGGTGCGCAAGTATAGTGGAAAGAAGCGTAGATTAGTCCATCTTGCAACATTCATTTCATCATATCATCATCCATATGGGCAAGTCCACAAACTGAGAGTGAGTGTAACACACCACACACGACACTGAGACAAAGGTTGATACTCACATATACACTCCGGACATGGGGCCTTACAATGAACACAGACTCCTGTCCTCATCACAAAAATCAAGGTTATTATACAAAAAGTACAGTTATCCAACAAAAGTTATGGTACCCAAGCGTCGAAGTATCCAAGACTCGACAGTCGCTCCACACGCATGGGGGTTATTTAAAAAGGGTATTAACACTCTGCGTCACGTCGACAAAAGAAAAAGCAGTCAACTTATACTCAGTTTTATCTTATGTACAAAGAGGGTCCTCAAGTCTATAATGCGATATAACACCTCATTACTGGCCCAACTCACTGATGTACATGGGTCTGATCCAATCCTCCAAGTATCCCTCTATATACAAGTAACCATCAGTCGGTGAGTTAGAGACGTCTCGTATATACCCTAGACTTAGACCTTTCTGGACCTTATTTGAAGATCCTACTCCTGATCGCTCATGTCTATCTGCAGCTACCTATACAACTGCGCCCTCACCCCATCATCTCTCCCCACAGGTGATGGATATATCTCTTCCATCTTCCTTTCGAACTCCTGCCAGGTCGCTGACTCCCTTGCATATCTGGCAATGACCTTAACCCACTCGCCCTCTCCTCGTACCTCTCTCAGCATCCTGGCTCCATCCCATCTGAACTCACTGGCATGCTTCTCAAACTCGACCAAAAACAACTCCACGTTCCCTCCTCTGAAGATGGGTGGCCTGTCTTCTCTCCTGGTCCATCCCTGCATTCTCTGTCTGGCTGCCCCTTGAGAGGGTTCCACTCGCCCGACCCCTCCCTTCCCTCTTGGCATGGCTTCGCCAAATGGTGTCAAGCCTGCACAACAAGGAAGAGACGAGCTAAAGTACACAGGGTGTAAGCAGGTTCGACACACAGTGAAAGACAGACACACCCCTCCCCATCTAACCTAGATGCCTATACCGGCATACGCACACATACCTACACATACATACGTATTATCCTAACATTATAACCTATCATATCATTCTAATGAACGTTCATACAATCTTTCTATACTGATACCCCCATCAGAAAGACATACTTAACGAGAGAAAGGGACTCTAACTTGTGAGGTCCAGGCTCACCTCGTCTCGAGCGACAAATTTATTCAACCTCGAGTTTGACACCCAGTCCTTCCAAGCGGTCCCATTCAGCTCCTCAATTTGGTATGCGCCGTACTCTCCACACGTGGCGACCCTGTATGGTCCCAACCACCTCTTGTCCAACTTTCGAGACCACTGCTTTTCCAGGGATGAGTCATACAACAACACAATGTCTCCCACTTTGAGGGGCTCCTTCCTTATCCTTGCCATTTTATCCCATCGGAACTTGTCCTTGGTACGGCTGCCCGCTGTCCTACTCGCTGCTTTCTCAATCCTGTCCTCAATAGCACCAATCTGACGTGCTCTCAAATCCAGCAGTTCTTCAAACGTCAGATCCGTCTCGAGGTCTTGTCGCCTCCAGGTTTTCAGGAAGCTTTCGATAGGGAACGTCGCGTGTCTGCTGTACCATAATGTGGCCAGTGCGTAGCCGGTACTCCTCCTGACGGTGATGTTGTCCACGAAGAAAGTGACCCTTAGAAAGTCTGGCCACTGATTAGGCCTGCCATCAGCCCACTTGGCGAGAAGGTTAGTGATGGTGTTGTTCCCTCTCTCCACAGGTGCATTAGCTTGAGGGTGCGCTGCAATGGTGTACTCAGCGATTACCCCATACTTCTTCAATAGAGCCTTTACCTCTGCACATGTGAACTCGGATCCTCTATCCATCACAAACCTAGAAACAAAGGGATAGCGAAGATAATATTCTTCAATGCACCGGGCCAGCGTCTCGCCTGTCTTTGTGCGAATGGCCCTGCCATCCACAAACCCAGAGAGTTTGTCCCTTGCATCAAAGATAAAGTTGTAGCTCCCTATTCCCAGCGGCATTGCCAGCAGGTCCAAGTGCACGACCGCTCCAACATCACGTACATACCTTGGGTACAACGGCTCTCTAGGTCTAAGAGCAGACCGCTCCTGGCATGGTACACAAGACTTACAATAGTCGTCGATCATCTGCCCCATGCCATCCCAATAGTACAACTCGTGTATCTTCGAATACGTCGTATCCGCGCACCTGTGGCCCCCTGTCGTACCGTCGTGCAGTGCCGCCATAATGTCAATCTGACGAGCGAGGCCGCAAACCACTCTTCTAGGGTCCCTTCCTTTGCTCCTGATGAACAAATGGTCGTCCCTTACCAGAAAACTTGTCCTCATCTTCCGAACTCGTGCGTAGGCATCCCTTTCCCTCATCTCACATGACAGCAGCATTCCGAGCTCAAGGTATACTCCCTCATATTCCGCTGCTCGGAAGGCTTCTTTGATCTCACCTTCCTCAAAGCCATCATCCTCCCTCTCGTGGATCACATTGTCACCTCCTCCTGGCTCTACCTCCTCTTCCTGGTCTAGTACTGTATTTCTGATTGTCTCTTCCTGAAGCAGCGCATTTGCCAACAGGTACACCCCACCTATCATCTTCTCGTGCTTACCCACTACTCCTAAGGCTATATAGGGGACCCCTGCAAGCATAGCTTTCTGCCTCTCTTCGGTGAAGGGAGGTTCTCTCTCTCTGTGAAGGTTATAACCATCTTATGAACCTGATGGACGTCCTGGCCTCATCGCCTAGGCTCAGGGATGAGCTAAGGGCGCGACTATCCATGAAAATGGTAGGCAGCGTACTGTTAGGGACTATAATCCCTAAGGAGGCTGAGTGGGCCGAGACAGGCACGAAAATGGACTGGAAGTCAGTAGCCTTTGGATGCCTCGATGTGGTGGTAAAAGGAAAGACATGCACAACAATGGTGGATAGGGGCGCCGAAATGAACCTCATAAAGGAGGCAGATGCAGTGCGTTTAGGGATGGAGGTAGACCACTCCGACAACGGGGTTCTGATGGGAGCAAACAGTCGGTCGATTTTCATAGGGACCGCGTTATCAGTGATACTGGAGATTGGAGTAGCGCTTCATTTTCAATCGTGAGCGGGTCTTCCTGTAGCTTGTACTTGCTGGCTAAAACCAACTCCATCATCCAGCCCACGTTCGGCATTCCCCAAGAGTCTTCCTCGACATAGGTATTGAGGACTAAGTCCGGCCGTCGTACATGCCCCGGAGGCGCAAGCCACACAGGTCGCCCAGGAGTAACGTACTTACCCACGGCCAATGCCCAGGAGTTGATGTGAAGTCTCACATCCTCCTCACTGGCCAAAAACCCGTCGACTGGTGGAGTATCCTCGATCACTCCCTGATTGTTCTTGTCCCAGCCGACGCGACTCAGCCCGTCTGCTCTATTCTTGGTTCCGGGAATCCGCTCCAACTCAAAGTCAAACATCCAGATGTATGTTAGCCATCTGGCGATAGTGGGATCTGAAGGAGCGAAGTTCTTGAGAGAGCCGGCCAGCGCCGTAGCATCCACCCTCGACACAAACCTACTGCCAAAGAGGTAGTTTCTGAAAATTCTTAAGCAGTGAAGAACCGCCAAGGTCTCGCGCTTGAACTGAGAGTAGTTTCTCTCAGACGT